ATCTACTGCCCCCAAGAACAGCGCCTTCAGCGCTCCCCGAGGCAGCCGGGTGCTCGCAGTGGGCCTCACAGCCAGCGGAACGCTCTGGGTGTGCTCAGCACTGTTAAGAAAAGCCGAGTTGGAAAGTCTGCACCCGAGCGGAGCCAGCTTCCCGACAGCCGCGGGTGCCCCGTGTGTCCACCTGCAGGCCTGGCAGATGTGACTCTGCCCGGAATTGCTCACTGACGGCACTGCCCAGGGTCTGTGTTTTTCAGGTGGTTTAGCCTGTTGCCCGAACGGAGCAGAGCACGCCGAGTTGCTCTTGATGGTAGAAGCAGCCTCAAAGATGCCTCACCTTGCTGTGCATGAGCGGGCTCACCGGAACCCTCTGAGAGACTCCTGCACGCGGGCACGTCGGTTGCCCTCTGTGATGAGGCAAAGGCCTCCCTCTCCACGGTATTTTGCAACCACCAGCTGTACACACGCACTGTTTTTGAGGATAACTGGTGAACTGAGGCGGAATTCCCGGATGTCCTTGAGAGGAACCTCTACTCCTGCCCTGACAGACATTTCGGGATTTTTAAGAAACAATTTCCTACCTCCTAGGTCCTATCTTCAATAAATTCAGAGAAGAAACCACTGCAGATCCCCAGCCATGGCATCAATCCAGAAAAAAAAAGAAAAAGAAAGTCCACAGATAAACATAAGAAGCAGTTATAGCAAAAGAGGGCAGATACTGAAATTCCTCCAAGGAAAGTGTAATTATGGGGTAGACATATTTGATTTAAATGGCGTAGGTACATTTGAACTCTTTTATTAAAAAAAATTTTGGCCCAAAAGGGGAGCTGTGGAATTCTTAGGCCTTGCGTGCTATCCCGTCGCTTCTGGCAGTGACTCGGGTATTTGTGCAGTGGGATTCAGAGCCGCGAGGGAGGGTGATGCCCCGAGTCTGGGGCGGAGCGGGGCAGCACAGGGCCTGGGGAGACCACACACCTGCACCGTGCGGGCTGTGGGATACCTCCGCGGCCTTCATCTCCTCGGAGCCAGGGCTGTTCAGATCAAACATAATTCAAGAACATTTTCACAGCAGATAATGGAATAGTTTTGAACATACACTTGAAGCATTAAGATAGGCCTTTTTTTCCCTTTTTTTCTGATTGTAATTTTTTAAGTTTTAAAATTTTTAGTGAGACGTAATTGATGTAACATGGTGTGAGTTGAACGTGTGTAACACGTTGACTTGATCCGTTTGCATAGTTCAGAATGATCACCACCGTGGCACTGGCTAACACCTCTACCGTGTTATGTGGTCATCTTCCCCTTTTTGTGGTGGGGGCAGTAAGATCTAGCCTCTTAGCAGCTTTGAAGTTTCTAACACGGTATTGGTGATGTAATCACACCGCTGTACTAATGTGCTAAGAGCTACAGAACTTTATTTACCTTCTAGTTGCAAGTTTATTACCCTAATTCCACCCCCTAGCCCCCGGTAACCACCACTCTAGACTCTGTTTCTACACATTCAGCTTTTCTAGATTCCACATATAAATGATAACCTTTTTCTACCAGTGGGTTTGCTGTCACTTCTAAGTTAAAAAGCCAACAGGGACCTTCCAAAAACTGGACGCTTGGACGGAGCCTACAGTTGAATAACCAAACTGATAGGAGTTACGAACACCATGAGAAGTGGACAGTGAGGCCAGATTCAGTTTGAGCAATGAAATTTCAATGGGGCAAGCGCACAGACTTCCATTTGCAGACTTGGAGGTCGGTGTTAAGACCCTTCACCCTGGGATCAGTGCCGAGAGACAAGGCTGAACGCTTTGTCTTTCTAGCGTGTGAAACTGCGATGGCGGTCAGAGAAAAGGGAATTTAATATTTTTAAATACTAAGCCACAAACTAAAAAAAAAAAAATCTGCTCTGTGTGCTTCCTACTAACAGGACTGAATTTTAGGTTGTTAGAGCTTCGACTCTGCGCTCTAATGGTGATGGGGAGATTAGATCCGAAGAACCTGATACTCTCTCATTCAAAAGGGAATCCCTTTAGGCCAGTAGAGAATTGATCTGTTCAGATGCTCGCAAATGGAAATGACCGATTTTCAAGAACTGGGTGGGGCAGGTGCACACTGACTCCTCCCTCGGGTCCATCTGCCCGTGGCGGGGCTTGGCTCTCCTTCCAGCTGCTTCATGGAAGAGAAGGCGCAGAAGCAGAGCCAGGCCCTTCAGGGCTGTCCCCAGAGTCCTCTGTTCTGCTAAGTACCAAAGGTGCTGACTTCTTGGGACCACAGCTGGCTTTCAGCTGAGTGAGTTTCCCTGGAAGCCAAGCCACATGGGTAGGTCAGGTTCTTGACAGTAACACACATCTTGTTACTTGCACATCTGAAAAAAGCAGCGATGGTCCCCCGCTTTTTCCACGGAGGCAGAATCCATGATGTTCAGGTGTGTGACCGTCTTCTAGACTTGTGACTTTCCTTCCCTTCAGATTACTTCCTCAGTTTGCCCAAATCCGTTCAGAGCCATTTCTCATTTCTTAGCTGCTTCGTCGACATAAACTTTTGAGGCCCGGATAACGTCACAGAATTGTACGAACAAGACTGTTCTTCTTGTGTCTTCCTGGAAGGTTCAGCCCAGTCTTCTCAGGGTTTTAATTGCACGGTGACACGTTGGATCACACAGAGCCCTGTGCTCCCAGAGGCAACATCACGTCAACTCAGGGGTTTCAAACTGGGCTTTGCAATCCCTGCTCCCCATGTCGTGGGCTTTGCTGGAGCCGAGCGTGCAGGCAACTAGCTGAGCTGATGGGGCCGAAGCCCAGAGGGACTTCATGGACTCAGTCGTTCCTTTGCCACCTGCTCTAGGCCTGCCATAATGCTCGCAGCACAAATGCTTCCGATTAAGAATGCAGTGAAATTTGGGCACACCAATCTCACCTTTCAACTTGTATAAAGTATTTAAATATCCCCTCGACACCCCATAACCCATTGCAGTTGACTCCCTCACAAAATGAAGACTCAGGGTTTCTGGGTTTAAACCAGACATCTGAAATCCCTCGTGAGTGGGTTGGGCTCTGCTAGTCCATGTGCAGTGGCTACACTGTTGACATAAACAGCTCCTCAGAATCAGGGAGGGATGGATTTTGAGCATCACGTAAGGTTGATGGATGGGTGACCAGCACTCTCTAGCTGGCTATTCAAGAATTAAGGCTTTTCCAGATTTTTGAGAATAAGGCTTACGCATGCAAAATAATACCCTGGGTTGTTACTGCTTGGCTTCCATACCTTGAGAAGAATTTGTAAGTAATATACACAAGTTTGAACTCTTTCTTTTGTTTCTCTGTTCCCAAGCTTTTCACAAATGCCAACCAGTTCCATAAAAGATGAGACCAATGACAACATCACGATATTTACCAGGATCCTGGACGGGCTCTTGGACGGCTATGACAACAGACTGCGGCCTGGGCTCGGAGGTCCGTGTGTGCTCCTTGACGACGGCCCTCGAGGCCCAAAAGTTTCACTTAAACCTAGTCTCAAGCTCACATTTGCTGTTGATTCAAACAATTCCTCAAACAGCTCCCCCGCCAGGAGTTAGAATTGATGGTGTTGCCAAGGCTCCTAAGTGTTACCATTTTCCAGGTGCAAGAAGCCAGGGGAAGTGGTCTGTCTGCAGATTCCCTTTTCTCCCGAGATAACGCATTATGATATCCATTTCTGGTTCACTTAGGGAGGAACTGCTTCTGAGGTGTTGCTGAAGCTGAGAAATAATTTATAGTCCACTCCATACCCTCATATGTATGCAAGTCCTTCTCAGAATCCACTACTCAGTGCAATAGTTCTTTACATCATTATATGCTTGTTATGTGTTTACTTTTTCACGAGGTCCGTAATTACAGTATTTGCTTTGACCCTGTGGAAGTTGATTAAATGGATAGATAGTAAGATATGCTCTCGGGGTACCATTGGCTTAATTTTGTGCTGAGAAGTATGTGCTGTTTCCAGGCCTGTGTGATGCCCTTGTGATGGCTCTAGCCGGTTTAGATGTGATGCGTTTGAAACCTGCTCTGTTAGGTAAGGTGGAGACCCTCTAACAAATGCAGTCTCAGAGGAAAACGTGTAGTTTTTCTCCACTGTTTGCACTTTTAACAGGGGCAGTTATTTAAAGCACAGTTTGACGTTCTCTGCCTTTTGGGCAAGGGAAGTCCTCGTAGGCTCCTTGACACCATTTAACTCCACCTGTGGAGTCAAGGCTTCTATGTCTGGCAGCTCCCAGCCCTGTGGACATACCTACAGGGTCAAAGCATCTAGAGATCCAGTGAGCTGCTGTCAGTTCCTGCTGTCATTCTGCCACTCACATTCGAGTCCCCCTGGGCGGGACCCTAAGGACACCACAGAGTCAAGCAGGCGCCTTCTGGGGCCAGCATCTCAGTGGGGAGACAGGCACTGAAAACACAGCATCAAACAAACACCTGTACACATGCAAATACACACCATGCACATATATGATTCCCCCACAACCAGGTGCTGGGGGAGAAAGTCATGGGAGCTGTGACTCAGTGAGGACACCATCTAGCAGTTTGGGGCTATTTGTTGGAGAGTGGGGTACTGTAGTGTGCTCATAACCATAGCGGGTTACAGGGCCTGGTGGGACCCTGGGAACACACATGTCCCCTCAACATTATTAGCTACTTTCATTGCTTTAGATATTTTCAGTAATTTTAATTGAACATCTCCCATGATAAAAATTTCTGACAATTCAGAATGCCGTATAAGGGGGAGTGGGTCCTCCTCCTCAAGCCATTCTTATTCAAGGCTGCACTGTGGACCCTCCTGTCTCCGGAGATCAATCCCAGGCTGCAGCTGGGATGGGAACTCCTGGGAGGAGTCTGTCCCCCTCCTCCTGATTGTCTAACTTTGTAAAAGCTGCTGTTTGTGGGAGAGGGTTGTGCATTGTGAGGCTGGGGGTGTTCTGGGTTCACCCAGGAGGACACTGAAGCTCACATGTGTGGAAAGCACTAAGTCCCCGGCAGGAGTCACCCCTCTGCTCACACTGCACCCCCCGGAGCGGAAGTGCCTGGGACCCCGGCTCCTTTGTCTGTATGACGGGCCGTTTGCGTCCTGTGATAGTTTTGGAGCAGCTGGGTTTCATCTGGTGTTTGTCAAGCCCTCCAAGTGTATCAGACACATCACAGAAGCCCTCTGGTTGCCAAGAGTGAAATTGGTCACTAGACAAAGCACGTAAATACGCTGGGCCGAGCGGTCCATGGTAAGCTGGGGGCCCTGGCGAGGAACCTGTGTCTGTGTTTCAGAACGAATCACCCAGGTGAGAACGGACATCTACGTGACGAGCTTCGGCCCAGTGTCCGACACGGAAATGGTAGGTCCCAGGGCGCGGCCCCACCCAGACATTCTAACCCCCGAAGGACTCGCCCGGGGCCGCCTCTGCTAAGTCGCACCCTGTTGCCTTCCTTTGCACTAGGAATATACCATAGATGTGTTTTTCCGACAAAGCTGGAAAGATGAAAGGCTTCGGTTTAAAGGGCCCATGCAGCGCCTCCCTCTCAACAACCTTCTTGCCAGTAAAATCTGGACCCCGGACACGTTCTTCCACAACGGGAAGAAGTCCATCGCCCACAACATGACCACGCCCAACAAGCTGCTGCGGCTGGAGGACGACGGCACGCTGCTCTACACCATGCGGTGAGCGGTGAGCCGGCCCGGTGCGGGGCTACGGCGGAGCTGGGCTGGCCT